AAATATTATTATCGTTCTCTATTTTGCTTTCATTTATCGTAATTGTATTATTCGCAACATTTATTATTGCGTGGTTATCTATTAAAAACTTATTGGCTATTATTCCGTCGTCGGATATCGGAAAAATTTTACTGACTACATAAAATTCCGTTCCAAATGCTATATTATCTATAATTAAATCTATTTCTGTCTTTCCTATTGTGGACACTATTTTTTCATTGATTCCCTTTAAATAAATTTTTCTTTTTCATTAATTTCAGTATCTCCCTTTAAAGCGTTAATTTTTATTATGTTCAGATCCGCGCCCGTGTCAACTAACAATTTAATTTGATATTTATTGAAACTTGGCGATTTTAATGTAATATGATTATCTACTAATCGAGTTGTGATGTGGAAAATTCGTTTTGTGGGTCTTGTTCTATTTCTTGGACCAACCTCACGCCCACCTGAGGTTGTCCCCTGAAGTTTTTTGAATTATTTTTCTCATTTTTCTGTTTCGTAAAACAGTTCGCAATTTCATGTCCTACCTTATTACAAAAACTGCAATGTACATTTTGTGCCCTATCATTGCCTGTACGATTATTACTATTACCAATATTACGCCCGCCGTTGCCGCGATTATTACTATTATACATATTTTGTTGTGTATTTGGCCTTCCTACTGTCTGCCAGCAATCCCTTGCAAAATGATTAGATTTCCCGCATGTGTAACATCCGGTTCTAGTCTGATTAGTATTATTTCGTTGAAAATTATTATCGTTAAAATTTCGTCCATAACCATTTCCGCCGCGAAAACTTCCGTTGCGATTATTTGCGCCTGCATTATAACCGCCGCGATTATTATTGCTATATCTATTGTCATATCTATTAAAATTATTATTTCTACTATTTTGATTTGCATTTTGCGAATCCGTTTCCTCCGCGATTAAACATATTATTTCTATTACTATCATTATGTCGTTTTTCTTCGTTATTACCATTAATTTGTTTTTCATTACTATTTTGTTTTTGTACATTTCCCTGCAACTTTTCCATGTCTAATTTAGAATTAAATTCAAGATCTTCATCTATCGCTAGTTTAAAACATTGTTCTAAAGCAGGGGCGTCATTTGAGGGGGGTCCGGGTGTGCGGTAGCACCCCTTAATTTTAAAATGGTTCCAATTGGCCTGCGCCCCGCTGAAGCCTAAAATAATGCACGAGCCACGAATGCACAATTATTAATATGATTAAAATTAAATTGTATTTTAATTTTTATATTGACAACTAATGAAAGATTATCAGAACCAACCAATAACTTGTTTAAGTTATTTGAAATTTTTGACCTTTCTAGTCCCAATTTTTTTAATCCAGATAGCCTTTATTTAAAACTATTTATAAACCATTATAGTTATTTTAACTTTAATGAAATTCAAATTTCTTCTGAGTTTCCACCAGTAAAAGCACTATTTAATGAGAAACATGATGTTGATTTGGACACCATAGCAATATGCCTAAAAGATTGTCCTATCGCTTTTGTTGAAACTTTAAAAATTATTTCATTGGTAAAAACTTTACCAATTACAATTTACAAAGGCATCAAATAAAAGGTTTTTTTCATTATTTAAAAGAGTTAAGTCATATTTACGCATTACCATGGGTGATGAAAGGCTAAGTGATTGGATGGTACCTACTTAATGTTGAAAAAAAAGAAGTTAACAATATAAATTTAGAAGAAGCTGTAGATAAATTCACTAAACTAAAAAATCGACGATATCCGCTTCTTTAAATTTAAAATATTTTTTTTCTAGCTCTTTGCTTTTTCCAAAATTATAATAATTATGAAAATAAACGACAATTTATTAATGTAGATATTAAGTCCTTTTTTTATTTGCTGCTGCATTAATTCTTCTAGCTTTTTACGAATCAATTATTATTGGTATTCACTGTTAAGGTAATTCATTATTTATTATATTTTAGTTTCTTAATAAATTGATATTTACTATTTATTTTGACGCAATGATTCCGAATTGATTCGGTCCTTACTCATAATGTATAATGATAATGGAAATAATTGAAAACCGGATAATGTACATATATACGTATGTATATCTATTTTTATATGTGAAATTTATTATAGTGAAATTTCAAAATGGCCTGCTTGAAACCCCGCACACCCGAAAAAAAACCTGAAATGACGCCCCTGTTCTAAAGTTTCTGGATTCCTACTTTTTAGTACTGTGTACAGATGATGTGGTAATCCTGTCATAAATATAATCATAGCCTGCTTTTTTGTCTGGCCCTTAACTACAAGTGCTTCGGCCGGTTTTAATCCAAATGTACTAGCCGCGCTTCCCGCTTACCTGATATACCTCTACCCACGTTCGATGGTGATTACCGATCGTGGCCCAATTTTCGCGACAGATTTTCCGCGCTTGTCAATTCGCGATACAATTTATCGAACATCGATAAGATGTACTATCTAATAGGTTGTCTAAAAGGTGCCGCAGCCGACGCTGTCCGAGGCATACCGGTGTCGGCGGACAATTACGAGTTAGTAATGAACACCTTATCCGACAAATTTAATCGATCGCGATGATCGAAATTCGAAACGAGCCACCGGCTGCCGAGGCGTCGTTATGCGCGTCCGTGCCGCGTCCCCCTCCACACCAGGCCACGTCTATAATTTTAGGTACCGCGCTAGTGCATATGCGCGATCGTTCCGGGTCGTGGCAAACAATGCGCGCACAGATAAGACGACTGACGAGCGCTTCCCCGCAGTAAGGCATTTGGCTTGCTTATCAAATAATAACGTTAACATAGAATTAAAAAAAATATAAATATATGTAAAATTCAGAATTTTCTAATTTTGATACATAGAAATGTATTATTTGTAATAGTTTGTCTTGTATAATTTTTAGTTTCTTTAAGCCCCGTTCACACGATCAAATAATTTGTCAAATATTTGATGTATGTTAAATATTTGACAAATTATTTGATCGTGTGAACAGGGCTTTAGACCAGCGGTTCTCAAACTTTTTAAATTTGCGTGCCACCAGCTACACCATTTCCCAGTTACAAAAATTTCCGGAAACTCACTGTTCTCACAAGTTATAACATATCAAAGTTGCAGCGATTACGCGTGTATCGGCACTCGTCGCTACGCTCCTCGGCGCCGTCGCTCCGCTCCGCAAATCGAAAATATCCCCCTATTTGCTGTGTGAACTACCTCAGGTAAACCTCGGTTTTCCTCAATATTGTTTCTAAGTATATTTATTCCCAGCGTGGTCACTCGCTCGTCCATTCAAAAGTACCTATATTTTTTAATATTGACAACTTTGAATTGCCATAACTTTTGAAGTTTCCGGAAATTTTTTCAAATACTTGAATTAAGCGTAAAAAACCAATTTTATTATAATTATTATTTTTAGATAAGATCAGAAAAAATTTAACTGTTGTCTCCATCGAGATAGATAAACAATACTGGAGCGCGCTCTTACCAATATCGTCCGTGAGACGAAAACGAGCCATGTCTTGAACGTTACCCCCACCTCTGCAGGGCAAAAAAAAAAACCGCAAACTTGCGAACGTCCTAGAGAACATAAACGCCTCATAATAATTTAAGTACTTCCACTCGCCCGATTTAAAAAATTAAAAACTATTTGTACTTGTTAACAAGCCTACTATACAGTGATATAGTTTTAAACAGAAAAATAAAAATAAATAGCTGCACAAATGACAAAAGTATAAAACGAATAATATAGACATTTATCGTGTTTACAGCTAACCAGTTACCTTTAAACATAAGCAATAATATTATAATCCAAATTTTATAGAATATAAATAATTTAATCAGTCATTCAGTCATCCATTTAAATTAAAATTAATAGTTAATACCATTGTTAGCGATTTATTTTTTTTATGTACACTCGGGCAGCACTGGTCGTCCGGCCGACCAGTCTGACTCCGCCGGGCGGCATATTAACATTCCGCACATCAAATAAAACCCATACGCAAATACGGCCTTCTCATTGGTCTCACAAATTCAGCGCCAAATTCAAATTATCATTTTTAATATTATTTTATTATTAGACAATTGCTGTGTAATATCATCTAATATGAATAAACAATTATGTTTTTCTAAATTCGTATTTTCTGTTGAACTCTTTTTATTTGCATCATCAACATAATCAATATCTTGATGAATGTCATGTAATATAAGTGACTTAATATTTATTACTTTTACTTATTAATATAATAACAGAGTTAGTTCGAAATTAATAGAACATTTTTATCAATTAAATTATTTCTATTTTTAGTCACATCAACTCTCTAATAGGATTAGAAAGGTTTTGTTTTCTAAGTTGTGTTTTAAGTTCAATTTTCTGTAATTAATGCTTATGAGTTGTCCAATATTATTTTATTCTTGAACTTTTGTGAAAATGACTCTTAAACTAAATTCTAGTAATCTTCCTTCTTCTTTTAACAATTTAATTATTGAAACTAATGACGAAGTAACCAAGGTAAGTTCAAATTTAGTAGATTTATCCAGTATAGGCAAGTGGACTGTCTAAAAACACAAGTTTCAAAGCTCAAGTGAAATTTGTGATTAAAGTAGATATTGTATCTACAATAATAATAATTTTGGCATCAGTAATGGACAGCAATATGCCAATATAGTACTAAAATTAATATTGAGTTTAATGAATTAATCTCGTTAATTGTTAAATTATTTAAACATTATTATTAAAAGTACATTAAATATGACCAAATGTTACCTTAAATTTAAGGTTAAAATGTTGTTTAAAAAATATAATATAAAATTATTTCTTTTTATTTAACACAATATATATTATATATCTTTTGATTAAATACCTTTTTTAAAAGAATATAATATGAAAATTAGAATAGAAATTATTTTACATATTGTATATAATATATCTTTTGATCATATTATATTTTAATATTATTATAAGACATTTTTATACATAATAATAATATATTATTAATAGGTATACTTTAATTAATGTGATTTTGCATTAGTCACACAATTTCTAATGTTACTCTGTAAATTTCTGGGCTTCTTTTTGGGACGGTTACTATCAGTTGTTGCTGGTCTACCTAAAGTAAAATATGCTATTGTTAAAATGTTGTTATTGTTGTATTTTTATCTTATATCTAAATTTGTACCTGCTAGCAAACGTTTACTTCCTCTAGTAATCCCTGGTCTTCTCCTAGCTATTGTTGTTGGTTGTACTTTGATCGACGCTCCATCTCTATGTCTAAGAGATAATGATGATGTACCTGTTGTTGCTAAAAAAGTATTAAACTGCCCTTCTGTATGTATTTTATCAAGTCTTTTTTTAAATTTTAATAAATTTTCATAAGTTGACTCGCCATATTTCATTATTTTATTAGACATTTGTTGAGTAATTTCATCTAATATGGATAAACAATTACGTTGTTCTAACTTGGGATTTTCTGTTGAACTCTTTTTATTTGCATCATCACCATAATCAATATCTTGATGAAAGTCATGTGATACAAGTGACTGTTCATGAATTACTTCTGTAGGTAATAAGCCCTCATAAAATGTCTTATTTGGTACTTTTTCACCTAATGCCAGTTTTGCTATAAAGTATTTGTCTTCTATGGTAACTGGAGGAAAATTAACTCCAATTTTATTAAAATATTTATAAATTATGCATTGGTGTTTACAAAATTGTCCATGAATACCTGCTTCACATGAGCAAACACCAATATTTGGTTCAACACAATACATCATTTTTTTATTTTTTTCGCTTGGGACATAAAATTCTTCATTGTCTACAGTAATCTCTTCTTTGCTGATATAATCAGTTTTTTTAATTAAATTTTTAAAAAACAGTCGAGCAGTAGAATTTCTTTCATTTGAAAATTCTAAAAATTTTTTTTTATAGTATTCCTCCAATTTTGTACAGCAAAAGTCAATCAATGAAATTACATTGTATGCTTTCACACGACCTAATACATTTTCCTTAAAAATTCTCACTGATACTTCGCTAAAGTTGTTGGTCTGATGGCCTCTATTAGTATGATCCCTCCAAGCTAAACACCACTTTTCTTTGTATTTCCAGTGATGAACTGTGATATATTTTTGCCACATAGGATAGTTATTTCTTATATTCATAGTTTCAACATATTTTTCTTGTGCCTCTTCAGAAGTCTGTGCATATAATATTTTTCTAAAACTATGCATCATAGAAGTGCGATCTTCTTTTTTAATATTATTTTTACCGTCCCAGAGCCATCTCCAAACTGATTGTAGAACATGAAAAATGCAAAGTAGCGATCTCGACTGTGGCCACACAGTTTTCAGTGCATTGATTTCGGCATCTGAGTTATCTGTCAAAAATAAAGATGGGAAACCTTGACCACCAAATGCATTTTTTACATTTTGCTTTATTAAATTAAATCCACTTGAATAGGATGCTTCGCTTTGGCCTTTGGATAAAATTACACCTAAAGGAGCTGCACCAGCAGCACATGGAGTAAGTAAAAATGTAATGCAATGGTTTTCAGGATCACAAGAACTAGTTGAGTCCACAAATACAATATCTTTGGATAATGGTAAATCATGTGCTCGTTTCATAATTGGAGTTAATATAAGAATAACAAATGGTTCCTCTTGGAAGTAAATTGAAATCCCATTTGTAGCATAAGTTTCTTTTTTTTCTTCTAGTTTCTAAAATAAATAAATAAATAAAAATAAATACAATTTTAAGTAATAGGCTGTAAAGAATGTAATGCAAAATTTGAATTAATTACTAGCATCAAAGATATTAACTATAGAAAATATAGAAAAGTTGGAAAAAGAAAATACCTGTGAAGTAAAATCTGTAATATACTTATGAAAATATAAGAGTCTAGTGGATTTGGATTACAATTTACAATTCTGATGTAGTGTAATAAATTGCTAAATTAAAACTGTTAATAATTTGTAATAAAAATGGTTCTATAATAAACAGTATAAATAGTAATAATACATTTATAGAATATATTCATCATGTAAATATAATATAATATATATTTTATTACCATAATTACTCCTTGACCAGTACGAGGTCCTAGGTTTAGTAATCTCCACTGGTCATGCCAGTTTTGCACACATCTATATGTTGGGTTAATTCTACCATTCGCAAAATCTTCAATTAGTTTATTTGCCATTGTTAAAATACTCTCATGATATCTATTAATTATAAAATAATACAATTAATTTTTGTGTATACATAGGTTTATAGAATGCATTTAAATAAAATAATAATAACTTTTATTAGAAATACTAACTGAATAAGTGGTCAATTTTAATTGATGTTAACATTAGAAATGGACAAATTGTATAATTCAAACCATGCCTAATCAATTTTATTATAAATACTGTACAATCAAATTATGTTTTATTTACATCAAATGACAATATCTATTGTAACAAATCAACATATCAACATTCTACTTTAAATCTATCATATTGTTCTTATTAATATATATTTACCGTAATGCATCTGATATTGTCATCCCATCATAAAAATAATCTTCAAATGTACTTCTTAAATTAACATCTGGATTCAAATACCGTAGTGCTTCAGCAGTATTAATATTATGATTATGAGTATTTGAGATAGTAATCATGCCTAAGTATTTATTCTATAAACATGAAATATTAAATGTAGTTATTAGTGGGTATATAATTTAAGGTTTAAATTTTTCAGTAAATTTAGAGATTGTGTGATGTGCAGTACTACTATTCAGATAAATAAATAGTACCTAATTTCATGTTTTTTAGTTGATTACCTATATAATTATTTTTAAATTCAGCATTAGACAATATTTTCATACCTACAACTAAAATGTAATTGCTAATATTTTACCTACCTTCACAAAAGGGTCACTTTTTCTAGTAGATACAGTGTCAATTTTCACTAAAATTTTAATAGATGCTTTACAGTTAGTATTTTTTGATTGACCTCTTTTGTTTAATGTTCTGTCAACTTTATGGTGAGAACTATGGTGGCAAACATAATTTTTTCTGTAAAGTAGTATAACAAAACATTTAGATTACATTTCTGATTCATAAATATAATATAGTATAATATATATTATTATATATTTACATCATATTTACTAGGTAGCTTACTTACTTGCATTGAATATATGTTCCTTTAGGAACTGTTGTTCGTACATTCCACCTAGTATTCGTTTTTGTAGAAAATTCTTCTACCCACTTTCCAATATCGTGTATATTATTTAAATTCGACCGAACAATAGTTATCGAGCCATTTTTTACAATAGTATTTTTAAAAGAGGAAGGCATATCATCAGAATTAATAGAAAGATTCATTTTGAAATTAATTTATGAAACACTCAATTACACAATGCACTGTATGTACAATGTACATAGACTATGAAGAAAATAAACCATGTTACCATACCAATTTAATTATTATCACACATTAGATACTAACAACAGTTAAGGTTTCTACAAAATACCTCACTGAGTTGCTAAAAATAGATATGTAAACAATTATTTTTTGATAACTTAAAAAAAAAGTTAGATATCATATTTGATATTTTATATATTCTTGAAAACCTCATTAATATTTTAATTCATTATTAATTAGGTACCTTAATGTATATAATAATTTAATTAATATATTTCATTATTTAATACATATTACATGAAAATATGTATGTTTAAAAAATACTACCCAAAGTAGCAAAAAAATATTTTTTAAATGTTTAAAAAAATGTTAGAAAAAGGTACTGTAAACTATCATATTACATCTATGAAAGAAATGCTTAGGTATATCCAAAACTTTGTTTAATTTGTATTTGACTATGACAGTAACATTAAGTTATGATACTTATTCAGTCAACTTAATTTATTCAAAATTCTGCCAGACTGAATTTTTAAAAAGGTAGGCAAGTGGGTGTAGCTCTGCTGTACAGTAGATTACAAGTGGGTCACTTTAGTGGATGGAGTTAAATTTGAATTTAATAATATAATATCATTCAATATGAAAAACGATTATTAAACCTGACAGTTCAGTCAGTCTATGATAATACTAAGTACATTGGATGACATTTTTGTGAATTAAGTAATTCATATATAACCTTATTCTAACTTTTCAATCATTAGTTATAAAAATTGAAGATTTTATAATTTTTTAATTACAATAATTGATAATTTTTGATCATTTGTTAAATTTCGTCTGAATTTGAATTTAAAATGTCTATAAAAAATAACTGTTAATATATTTTTTTAGATTTTTTGGTTACCTAGGTATTGAACCTAATAGAATAATGGAAAATAATAAAAAAGTTAGTGATGAAAATAATATGAAAACTAATAAAACAATAGTGTATACGGATAAAAAAAATCATTTTTAATTTTGAAAGATATAGAAAGCATAATGGTAAATGGTAAATAACATTACAAAGTTTGGTAGTTCATCTTATGAAAATGTATTAAAATTTTAAAGCAGATTAGAAAAAAATAGTTCTGATTGACAATGTATGAGTAGGTAATTGATTTATAAGTAATCAGGTATCTTCTTATTTAACTACAACATACTTATTGTTTAATGATTTACTAATTTCATAAAATTATAACATATTATAGGTCGACCTGATTCAACAGAACACAATAACCAAAAAAAAGAAACCAAGAAATTTATTTAAATATGTAACTGATTGTGTACCAAACGCAAAATCTCATTAAACTGTTAAAAGTGTTTATTATTGTTATTATTATTTGTAACTCTCCATTCTTCCCTCATTCTAAGTTCTTATTGGAGGAATTAAAAAAAAAAATATATATATTAATATGTTATGTAGGTAGGTAGGTATAGGTACCTAATTATATATACAAATAAATAATTTAATTATATAATTGTTCTTAAAAAATGAAAATTTGTTTATATGGTACCTATTAACCTATTATTATAACTATAATTTTATTTGAGTATGGTAGTAGGTAACTGAAATGTATAATTAATTTAATAACTGTATGGTAATAACTAATTATAGTATGATAAACTAAATTTGCTTAAAAATAAAACAGTTTGTATCTCATGAATGCTTATAAGTAAGCAGTATTATTTTTTTTCCAAAAATTTGCTTCTAAATATAATAATAGAAATAAAAAAATATTTTATATTTTTTAATAATATTATAATATTATTTTATTAAAAATATTTAAATATTTTATCGCGCCAAATGGTGAACCAATGAGAAAGCCGTATTTGCGTATGGGTTTTATTTGATGTGCAGAATGGTAATATGCCGCCGGGCGCCGTTACACTTCGGGCGTATCGTCATTCGTCCTGTTTCGCCGTAACCGCTGGACACGACGTGTGTGTCCGCGGACGAACTGCCGTTCGGTTATTAGTAATTCCTATAGTTGTGTTTTCTCATTTGTAATAAACCGTAATACCTTTATAACTTATTTAAGCGTTGTGTTACTATTAAATCCTGACACCCCGTTCATCAACGCGCTTACAATTCAGAAGTGGGATACGACTCTTTTGTATTAAGAGTCGATCGTATCCATCACGTGGTTTGTGCGACCGTTACGCGCAATCGTTATTGCGTTTCGCCGCGACCGTTAAAGTTATCGTGATCGCGAAGTTGTGAAGTGCCGACCCCGCGAACGTGAATCGCCCCACGCGTAGTTTTCGTAGTTCGCGTAGTTCGTCGTGGTTCGCGCAGTTCGCCGTGCAAACCGTGTCACGTGTTTTACCCAGCCGAGGGCCGACGGTTGAGTTCAAAGTCCAACCCGTGGTTTTTGAGGTTAATCAGTATCGCGACCGTGCTGTGACGTAACCGCAACCGGTACCGCGAAGTTGTTATCGCGAACACGTTCGCGCCGTATCGCGAAGTCGTTATCACGACCACATTCGCGCCGTATCGCGAAGTCGTTATCGCGATTACTATCAGTGTTTACCTTCGTTGAGCGATAACGTTTGTTTACACTAGTATCCGCCTACGTCACGATGGGTGATTCTGACGATGGAAACATTTTGAAGACTAACGAGCTAGGGCCGAAAGCTCCGACGTATAATGAACTGTTCAGCGCCGTGGCCGAACTAACCGAAAGACTGCGAAAACTCGAGTCGACTGCCGTTTTGCCGCCCGTTCAATCACAGACTTCTAGAATTGACGATAACTCCCAGACTACTTCGGCGGTCGATTATCGTATACTCCCAGACGTAGGAACATCCATATGGTCATTCACGGGACACGAGTCTAGTGGTCGAGCAGAGGATTGGATTAGTTCAGTTGACGGGTTGGCGCAAGTTAACCAGTGGCCACTGAGATACCGACTGCTGTACGTCCGTTCGCATGTCGTGGAAGCCGCGCGAAGCTGGTACCTGCTTGAAGAGTTCCGCGACTGGGACACCTTCGTCCGCAGGTTTAGGGCAACGTTCGTGCGCACCTTGCGCAAGGCGGATCTGTGGCGAGAACTTGAAAGACGAATACAAGAGCCGAATGAACTGACTATCGACTACTTCTACGCCAAAATCGGTCTATGTCACTCGCTCGGCCTGGCGTTTGTTGACACGCGTGAATACGTCCTCGAGGGATTGAGGTCCCAACCTTTGACCGACTGGGTGTACGGTCGTACGCACTCAAACCGCGATGACCTGCTGTCGGACATCCGGGACTGGGAAAGCATGCGCGCGAAGCGCAAAGAAAAGTTTGACACCGCTAATTCAACGTCCACTAAGCCACGAAATGTCAAACAAAAATCCGTTACTGAACCGCTGGGCACGAAATCGACATACGATGTGCCCGCAGTTCCGCCGAAAACGACGATTGGCGCTACCGCTAGATCGCCGACGTACAAGGCTGAGGCCAAAACGGATGTTTCAAGTGAACGATCGACGTTCTACTGTTTTAACTGCCGCGCTGCGGGGCACATCGCCAGGGACTGCCCGAAACCTCGACGTCCGAGGAAGTGCTCTAATTGCGGTTCGGACCGACACACTCGAGGTCGTTGCCCGGAAAAGTCTGACGAACGATCTGAAGCCGTGTCCGTTACCGACCAGGCGTTTCGTGTCGACGCGACCGCGAGTGCAAAAAGATCGAGAAACCCGTACGTAAAAACCGTGAGTATCAACGGACGACCCGTTAGTGGCCTTATTGATACGGGTAGTTCAGCCGTGCTGATGCGTATATCAGCTGCCCGCGAGTGTAACGTCGCTATACGCGACGCCGTGTGTCCGCTTTACACTGTCGGTAATGCCACACAGCCGAGTACCTCCACGATTGGAGAAGGCGACGCCGAAATCTCGATTGAAGGCGTGTTAGCAGCCGATCACACAATTAAGATAGTGCCAGACAGCACGATTCCGGTGGACGTGCTGGTTGGTCGGACCTGGCTCGATCTGCCTCACGTGAACTACTTCAAACAAGGAGGTGAGATAGTTTTCGATTCGATGAACCGCGTCCAGACCGACGCGCTCGATATGTCGCACGCCGACGAAAATGTATACGTTGCTGCAGAGGAACCGGTCCGTCCGACGAAAGTACCTATAACTGAAAACGACGTTGTTATCGACTCGAACGTTTCCGTCGCACAACGCGAAACGTTAGTTGCGTTGCTTAACGAATATCGCGACGCTTTTGCGAAAAACATCACGGAGTTGGGTTGCACCGATGTCATCGCTATGGACGTCACTGAAGAGCCGGGCAGTTTGCCTGTTAGTTTAAAACCGTATCGAACGTCACCCTCCGACCGACGTATTATAAGCACCACATTACGCGAATGGCGAGAAGCGGGAATAATAAGCGACTCTACTTCTCCCTACGCCAGCCCGGTACTTCTGGTTAATAAGTCCTCGGGCGAAAAACGGTTGTGCGTGGACTACCGACGCCTGAACCAACAGACCGTAAATCAGCCGTATCCGATGCCTGACGTCGACTCGCAACTCGGAGTTCTGTCGCACGGTGTAATATTTACGACGTTAGATCTCTCCAACGGATTTCTACAGATACCACTCACCCCCGAAGCCAAAAATAAGACTGCGTTCGTTACCGAAGAAGCGACGGCAAAATTTGAGCGCATGCCCTTCGGACTTAAGGGTGCGCCGGGAACCTTTCAGAAGCTGATGGGTCTTGTGTTCAAGGACCTGAAAAACGAAGGCGTCGTGAGTACATATTTAGACGATATAATTTTACCATCGAAAAGCTGGGACCTCATGATGCACGACCTACGCCGAGTGCTAGACGCACTACGCGCCGCCAAACTGACGCTCAAACCGTCGAAGTGCACGTTCGGTGCACGCGAATTGGATTATTTGGGTTTCCGTATATCCGAAGGTACAGTTAAACCAGGACGCAAAGTGCTTGCGATCGCTAAATTTCCGCGTCCGCTCGACGTACACGAAGTTCGGCGCTTTTTGGGACTCGCCGGCTACTTTAGGCGTTTTATAGTTAAATACGCGCAAATCGCCGCCCCACTGACGTGTTTAACGGGTAAAGACGTACCGTTCGTTTGGTCAGAGTCGCAAGAAAACGCCTTCACCGCGTTACGTGAAGTCCTATGCAACGAGCCGGTTGTACAGATGTACGACCCGGAAGCCGCCGTCACGCAGGTTCACACGGACGCGAGCAGTTTAGCTTTATCGGGAATATTGCTACAAGGTGGGACGTCTACCACTCTACACATGGTGTACGCTGTGAGCAAGAAGACGACATCTGCGGAATCAAAGTACCACTCATCACGTCTTGAACTTCTCGCGATTATTTGGACATTAAATAGACTACGTCCGTTCCTTTTGGGAATCAAATTCACCGTAGTCACCGACTGCCAAGCTTTAGTGTATCTAAACTTGCACAAAACAGTAAAACCTCAAATCGCGCGTTGGTTCGAAGTGCTACACGAATATGATTTCGAAATTAAATACCGTCCGGCTGCGAGAATGGCTCACGCCGACGCGCTAAGTCGAGCGGTCGACGACGAAACCGAAGACGCGGACTCCGTAGACAAACAGTTGACGGAACGGCTGGAAGTGTGTGTTGCATTGACGAAAGAGGAACGCGTCCGATTTATGCAACGAGCTGATGAACACACGTGCAAGCTGATCGCGTTGCTCGAATGTAAGAACGACTTAACTAAGCAGGAAAAGAGCGAGATAGTTAATTTCGAGTTATCGTCGGGAGTGTTGTACCGCGTATACGAAGGGCGCCCATTACTCGTTATCCCGAAGACAATGCGGAAGGGAATCGTGATCGAAGCTCACGACCACGGAGGTCACTTTGGACTCGAACGGACCATCGCACGGATTACCGCCGATTACTGGTTCTCTCGGTTACGACGTTACGTGCGCCAACACATTAACATGTGTCTCGATTGTCTAGTGCACAAGCGACCGTCGGGCAAGAGGCCGGGCCTACTGCACCCGATTCCGCCGGGAAAACGACCGTTCCAGGTCATACACATCGATCATCTGGGGCCGTTTGAGACGTCGACATCGAACAACAAATATCTGTTAGTTATTGCCGATAACCTCACGAAATACGTGCAACTGTTTCTGTGCGCAACGACCGACGCCACCGGCGTAATACGTATACTTAAAAAGTTTTGTGACGACCGAGGTATACCGGACCGGATAATCTCCGACAGGGGGACGTGCTTCACATCGCGGGCGTTCAACCGATTCTGCCTCGACCGCGAGATCGCTCATACGCTCAACTCTACGCGACACCCACAAGCCAACGGGCAGGTCGAGAGGGCTAACCGGACAATAATTCCGCTCCTCAGTATATCGACCTCGGACCAACGCCGATGGGACGTAAAAGTGAAGGAAGTCGAGCGCCAGATGAACACCGCAGTGAACAAAACAACGACCAGAACGCCGTACGAAGCCCTCCATGGGTATCTGCCGCGTTTTCGGCCGGGTGCCTTGCCCACGCTGAGTCGTACTCGGAACGAAAGTAACTCGCCCGAGGAAGTGCAAGCGGAGGTGCGCGAGAATATAGTACGCGAACAAAAGAAGATGAAGAATCGATACGACCGAAAACATTTCGACGGCATTCGATACGAAGTCGGGGAGGTCGTAGTCATGCTGAGACAGCCCACGGCGGGTCAACCGTCAAAACTGCAAGCTAAATACCGCGAGAAGCCGCTGCAAGTGATGAAGGTACTTCCGAGCGACACATATCGCGTCGCCGAGCTCGGGTCCGACGGACACGAGATTTACGCCACCACAGCCCATGTCTCGCAGTTGAAGTCGTGGCGTATTTTACGTGAATCCGACGACGAGGTGAACGACCGAGATGAATCCGACGACGAGGTGAACGACCGAGATGAATCCGACGACCGAGATGAATCCGACGACGAGGTGAACGACCGAGATGAATCCGACGACGAGGCGAACGACCGAGATGAATCCAACGACGAGGTCCAGCCTCATGCCCAACTTCGTCAGTCCGCAAGGAAGCGCAAGTTACCCGCGCGGCTCGAAGGCTTCGAGCTCGGCCGGCCCTAAGCCACCATTGTTTGTTTGTTTAAAAAAAAAAAGGGGTTTATATTCGTCATCTTATGATTTATTTATTTTTTTTTGGGGGCATTGTCCGCCATCGATTTCAATGCGAGTAATTTATTATAATGTAATCATGTTTAATTTTGTGTTTTATAATCGCCGCGCGCGATGCGTCTTTTTGAATTATTTTGGGATTGCTCGATCCTTTTTATGCTATTTTTTTTGTGTTATACGAACTCTCAGTTTTGTAAACGGCCCGAGGACGGACCGTAAGTAGGAAGGCCGAATGTTAGCGATTTATTTTTTTTTATGTACACTCGGGCAGCACTGGTCGTCCGGCCGACCAGTCTGACTCCGCCGTTACACTTCGGGCGTATCGTCCTGTTTCGCCGTAACCGCTGGACACGACGTGTGTGTCCGCGGACGAACTGCCGTTCGGTTATTAGTAATTCCTATAGTTGTGTTTTCTCATTTGTAATAAACCGTAATACCTTTATAACTTATTTAAGCGTTGTGTTACTATTAAATCCTGACACCCCGTTCATCAACGCGCTTACACCATATATACCATATTGTATTGAAATAAGTACAACAATATTCCAAAATTTAACTTTTTAAGTAGGTACTTATTACTATATGATAAATAATTAATTTGAAATATTAACATATAATATTGTAATAGGTAATGTAGGAAATGGGAAACAATAAATACAAATTCAACACAAAAAAAGAAGAAGAAATAAGATATATTTATAACATTTATTTATTTTAAATCAATACAAATACAATATAATATTTATACAATTTAAAAACATTAGAACAAATAGAATATCTTTATAAAATTTACATTTTAAACATTAAAACAAATTTTAATTTAATTTTTAAACATTTTGAAATAATATTAGTTTAGTTAATTTTTGTCTCAAAGAACTTTTATTTTTTAATACTTCCTTTGCATTAACTTCTTTAGCATAATGTCGCATTCTAATATTTATGTAGCTCTCACTAAGAGCTGAGAATAGTTTATGCTCATGACTAGGAGAACCAAGTTCGACATTTATAGGATGAGTATTAGGAAAAAAGAATAAATTTGACTTATTTAATATATTCTTCCTTGCTAGCATTAAAATATTAGTTTTTACATTTGTATGTAGTTTTTTTTGCATGACCACAATAAGTTGAAAGGATTTTTCCAATTCTTTAAGAATTAAAGAAACAGCAGGAGAAACTATTTTTAATTTTCCTCTGGTAATAAAAGAGGTAAAGTTTATATTTTTTGTGTAGCTATGGTCAGACTGTCCATCAATTAATATATCTATACAAAAAGGGCAAACTATTTTTCTAGATATATTTCTTACAATATATCCAGCAATATAATCTAATATTTCGCCAGTATATTCTTTTAAATATAAATTGGATAAAAGATTTTTATATTCATCACCAAACACATCGAACTCATCAAAAACATCATCATTATTAGTAGATTTTTTAATACTTCTTTTTTCAGAACGAAAATCCAATATATCTCCACCGGGAATTTCATAATATGAGCAATTTCCATTCTCAACAATAATATTTTTGGTGTACAATAATTGCCTCAAGGTTTTTTTAAATTGAACACAATTTGGGTTATTATTGTTCCCACCCCTAGCTCGAATACACCCAAAAAAAAGTTCAATGTGGTCTTGTGAAGTTTTATAAGTCAGAACATATTTAAGAGGATTTTGGGATCTATAAAGAAGCTTATATGCAATTTCTATGGTACTAGACATAGTTACTATGAAGCCTAAAATAAACATTTTCCTTCCACCCAATATTAAGAGGTTATTCTCACATTTTAAAGTTTTTAAATAATCAGACGTGTCGTTAAAAACCGATCTTATTGTAGCGATATTACCCGGGTTTATAGGACTTTTGTAACCTTTGGAAAATGGTATTCTGGAATTGAGGATATCAAATATTCGATCTATTTGTCTTATAAAATATACTGTAGCATCACTGTTCTGGAATGATGGTTCACCTTTTTGCTGTAAGTATTCAATTGCATCTGCTACTCCACTGCTGAGTGTCTGGGCAGCTAACTTCACTTTCATAATAGAATTTTTGTAATTAATATGTTGTGAACTTAATTTATTAGCAAATTTTAAGCCAAGTTCATTTTGAAATGCATTTAGAGAGCTTATGTACTGCCATTTAATATCACCAATATTAGATTGAATAATTTGTTTATCAGCCAAAGAAGATCTAGCAAGTTTAAGCATATGACAAGTATCAAAAATAGAATATACTTCAATTGATCTATTTGCATTATTTACAGTAAATTTTGTGTTCAAACTATGCGTCTCAAAATTACAGCCTAATTTTTTGAAGCTTTGTAAATTAGAAGGAGCACCATCGCAAGTTACATTCCATACTTGTATTCCAACCTCATTAAGTTTAATAATAGCAGTAGATATTAAGGTACTTAAAACACTACTGTTAATTTTGTTGACATAAAAAAAACCAATAGGACATTTAAACTGTCTAGTTAAGCTAACTATCATTAATACTAAAGCTTCAGTTGCTAATTCAGAATTTTCACCAGTACCAAAATCAACATTTCCTGCATATCTACCTTTATCTGGTTCCCAAACTAGTTGCTTTCTTAAAGACATTGAATCATGAACAAGTGAACAATCTTGAAGCCAAGAATTTTTAGAAACTTCTTGTTTCAAAAACAAAAATACTTCTTCCAAGAAGCCAGGTTCACATTCTGTACTACTTAACCATTTTCTAATAGTTGAAGGATGCGGTAGCGTGAACATTTTGCGTACATATTTATAAGCTTTAGGTGAATAAAAAAAAAGGGTTTTAGCAAAGTCTTTCATAGCATTTGTATAGCGAACACCCTTCTTATGAAGCATTTTAGACTTATGTTCATGCAATAATAACGTTAATGGAAACCCACCAAAATTTTCTTCCAGCATTTGAGTTACTTCATCAGAATATGTAACATTTTTTTTTATTCTTAGAATCAAATCTAAAAAAAAATCTTGATTAAAAAATCTAAAATATATAGTTATACATGTATATAGTTAAAATTACCTTTTAATGATTTAATTTTACTATTTCTTCTTTTCAATCGTTGTTGTAATATCTTAATCTTGTTTTGGTACAATTTTTTATTAAAAGTTTTAATATTACACTGTACCATTTTATCTTCCTTTTGGTGAGATGTTTCACTCTGGTAAAACTACAAACATTAGATATTAAACAACAGATAATTATTCATTACCATTTACCAGATAAGAGCTTATTATTATGAGTATTAACTTAAAATCCAAATAAATTATAAATTAAACAATTTGATAATACCATGGTATTAGTGGATGAATCTTCGCCAGCTTCATTAACTATTTCTGCATGAATCATATTATTTTGATCATTGGCCTATAATAAATTTAATAAATTAGTATACATTATTAATTATTATACTTAAGTAGGTATTTGAGTACACATAATAAAATAAAAATAAAAACGCTGCTTTTAAGCAATTGAAAAAAATATATATTTAAGTAGGTAGTAAATAATATATTATTATAGGTAGGTACACTAAAATATATTATGTAGTATGTAAATTAATTGGAAAATTAGTAGCTGTAAAAATAATACAGTACATAACATAATACTAGTATCTATAATATTATAATATATTATAAATTGTATGTATGGTGTAGGTAGATATTTTTAAACTACCTACAATTAAATTTTTAAAAATAGACTAACCTTTTGACGATTTTGAAGTAGTGGACGACTAGCTTTTTGTTTTTTTTGTAAATGCTGAGGAAATTTAAAGACTGATGGAACTGCTTCATCTTTTAGCAACTTCTTATCTAACTCTGGACGAGATTCATTTAAATAATCACTAGGTGTGAAATGTTCACTGCATAAATAGCTGTACTGGTTGGGTGTAAAATTTTTTCGTCGTATTTCATGTAACCATTTTTTTAAAACGTCTGGTCTTTTTAGAGGAAATCTAGAATTATAAAGTGTGTTCATTGAAAATTATGAGACGAGATTTTGATTTTTGATAGAAATATTCAAATATGTATTACACTTACCGATGGAAATGTATCCCGTTTTCTTTCTGTCGCCTATTTGTACACCCATACCCTGAACATGATACAACCATATTATTATCTATGAGTTTTAATTTTTAACTTGAACGAAATTCCGATGCCGAATTGCCGAATCGTAATAATTATATTATATTAATTAATAATTAATATTAATTCGCTATAAAAAGGTTAGGTTAGAATGTAAACTGATATTTTCTTGCCCTGCAGTGGTGGGGGAAGCGTTTAAAAATTTGGCTCGTTTTCAGTATCAGTGTACGCGCTCCAGTATTGTTTATCTATCTCGATGGTTGTCTCCATGAACTACTACACAGGACTGGACACTATTGGCAGGAGGAGAGTAGGGGGTCGTCCACAAAGTTGTACATATTCGGTACACATGCGACACAGCGCCATCTGTGAGATAAGAAATATTTTGTTATATAAAATACCGCCTTAGTAGTTCATGCTTAAACTGTTCACTCTTTAAGCAGTAATTATTTTCTGATAATATTCTATAAATAGTATCATTATTATCTTGAACTGTGTTATTAATAATTGTTTTTCAAAAATTAAAAAGTAAATTTATTATCAGTTATTATCACTAATATCACTATTCTTTAGTGTTATCCTATAAAAAACGTAGTTCGTACTACTAACAGGCAGAGTGCAGTTACATCGCATGTGTACGAACCCTGTACAACTTTGTGTCCGTGATTTTCTCTGTAGTCTGTAGTGTCCAGTCCTGTGTAGTAGTTCATGGTTGTCTCAGATTAACTCTATGATAACGTTATTATATTATGATAAGCCAGCCAAATGCCTTACTGCGGGGAAGCGCTCGTCAGATAAGCGCCGTTACGAGTGCGTGTGCCGATCGGTTAGGCCTTAAGCGCCATAGATAAAGAAGTAAGCGCGCGATAAGCGGTTTATCCGGAGTTCCCGTAGTAAATGTCCAAGGTCGCGTTGAGTGTAACGTACTGCCGCGGTTTGCGTCCGAACCTGTGCTTTCCATAAATGCGTGGGACGTGGGTGTTGCCCGCCATAACGACTAACGAGTGACTTGCCTCGAACAACGCTACACTCGAGCATTAAAGAGAGGTATTCTAATCTCGCGCTCGCCGACCCGTCATTCGATATCACTTCACCTATTGACGTATTATTAGGCGGCGATGTATACGCGTCAATAATGGACGGTCGAAAATTTTCGGTGGACAAAGCTTTACCTACGGCGTTTAGTTCCGTCTTTGGTTGGATTTTAAGATAGCAGATGAATTGCAACGGCTACAAAATTGAAGAAATAACCAAACATTTTGACAAACCTAAATAAACTGTCCAATAGTTCCAACACTATATTATACTAAATCAACGTATACAATTTGTATTAATAACAAGATATTGTCAGTATCGATAGCAATTTGTTTATAATAATTGTTAATAATAAGTGCCAAACGTTTGGTTGATTTTACTGAACAGTGAATATTTTTTCTGCTATATAGTAGATAGTAGATCCTGCTACTAAATGTTTTATTGAAATAACGTTTCAATTTGGTAAAAATAGGCATTACGTTTGGAATAAAACCCAAACGTTTGACTGATATGACAGATTATTCTTATAAGTTCACGATAATACGACATCGTATATCGCGATTCGCGACCCGCGTGGCCGCGTCCTCGTGAGCGTGACACAATTCACTTTACTTCGAGACTCGAGTTTTGTAGTGTAACCTACTGTATAGTGTATACGATCGCCATTTTAACTTGTTATTAAAACGTTAATTGTGTTAATGTTATTGAGTGCTCTGTTTTTGTTTATTGTTGACATGACATTGTGCTTTATTTATATGAGTTGAACATTTAATGTTATAAAATATTAATTATAAGTGATTACTGATTTGTATTACCACACTAGCACATTAGGTACGTATTATTTATTACTAAGAAAATACGATATTCTTGCATAAGAAATGGCTGATGATGATGTGTCAGATATGTTGAAAGCTTGGGGCCTAGAATCTTATACAGACGTATTTAAAGGTAATATATCCATTAAATTTAATATTTGAGTGCTGTTGCTTAATGCTTACAATTTTTATTTTATTTTTTTGTATCTCGATAACGTGCTAATATTTAATAATTTTTACCTAATTAATAATTATTAGAACATGGAATAGATATATCATGCTTAGCGCTTTTAACTGGTGATATGTTGAGAGAAATTATGCCTATGATTGGAGACCGGGCAAAGTTTAATGCTAACTTGGAAGAGTGGCGTAAAGTTATTGCTCTTGCTAATAATCAAGCACCGTTTACGGTATTGGCTAATTTACTATAAGTAACTACCTAGTACCTAGGCATATATTTTATTATAATGTATCATTTTTAAGGAATTATCGAATGATTCCCATTTCACAATCGAAATTCCATCACCAGTATCGCTCACTTCTTTGACAGCAACAGATTCAGAAGTCTCAAGTTATTTTGATACTCAACAGTCTTATTCATCTGATGATATTCAAAATTCTCAAGGATCCTAGTCAGTCTGGTATTACGGAATCAATTAATTTATCTGAAGTTGTTGAAAAGGTATTTATTTTTTTAAACATTTCAAGCCTAATTTCCATTATTAATTTATTTTATTATTAATATAATTGGTTTTTATTAATTGGTAGAAACATTATGTTATGATTAGATAGTTAATATTGTTTTTTAAAAATATATATTTACAATTAAATATTTTGAATAATATGTGTTACCTATTTTTGTTTTTTAGGATTGTGATTTGTTAAATTACTTGAAAAGCACCACTGAAGGAAAGGCTTTATTAGCAACTTATGATGCTGATGGTTTATTAGACAATAGTGGTCGAAGAAAAATTTGTAATTTAATTGTCAGAAGAGAGTTTCAAGAAGATCCTGAAATATCCGTCAAAACTCAAAGATTACATTTTTTAGCTCAAGAGATAACAAAAGTTTTCCCTAAAGAACATTTGAGTACATATTTCATACCCTATATGAACTATGGTAAATACTAATTTCATATTAACATGTAAATTAAAACATTAAAGTAAATCATTAAATATTGTTATACATTAAAGTATAATCTATCATTATATTTCTTTTACTACTGGTCCGTCAATAAAAAAAGCAGCAAAAGGAAAACTCCTCGATTGCTTCAACAACAAAAGAAGGGAATACAAAAAGGCTGGGCTCATTTCTTCGACCAATCGTTCCCCTTCTTTTGAAAATTCTTCAGCCTCACTTTTATTGAATCAGACTACATCAGAAACTGGTAAGTTTATAACTATAATCCATGTCTATTGTCTAATGATTACTTAAGACTTCTTTTAAATTGAATTTGAAATACTATTTTCAGGACATTTACCTATTATGTTTGTATTTATTTATTTATTTATTTATTTATTAGGTAGTTAATAACAATAAACAATTACAGCTAAATCGGTTCAGTAGTTTTCTCGGTTAGTGCGGTCGTAGAAACCCCCTTACAATTTTATATAGAAGTATAGATAACCTATACTTAAATAAAAATATTGCCAATTAACAAAATCTTTAAATTTTACTCTATAAATGTTTAAAACTTTTAAAATAGTTACTACCATAAATAGATAAACTAATTTTAAACCATACACCTACAACCTACACATTTTAAAGAAAACAAGTAATGCATAAAAGTTATATATTAAACTTAAGTCTCGTTGGAGAGGTTACAATTTAAATTGAACTATTATATCTAGTAGAATAAGAGCGCGAAGAGTAATTAATTAATTCCTTATAATTAAACATAAACATTAATATATAACATTAAACATACATACATTTTTATTATTCAAGGCATCCAAATTAGATAGATAATAATCATTAAAAATATTACTTGGGTATCAACTTGGTTTGAAAAATATAAATCTTAAAAGAGATTTCATATTATTAAACTTAAATTTATTTATATTTTTATTCTAAGCATTTCCCCAAAATAGGATTCCATAAACTATGATGAATTGAACCAAACTTAAAAAAGTTATAGTTCTTAATTTAGGTGATAAAAATTAAAAATATAAAATATTTCTGAGTATACTGAAAATGTAAAAAAAATTGTTTAACAGTATTCTTGATATAATTAATTTGAATTATCCATTTTAAATTGTCATCAATGAAAATACATAAATATTTAACATACTCTACTTACTATAACCTAACTACTCTGTTTTTTTTTTAAACATTATTTTGTCTTTAAATTGAATTTATTCCTAATTTAAATTATAGAAAATGTTGATGAACAAATACAATGGTTAAATAGTTCATGTGACCCTTGGAATTTGGTGCAGAAATATTGGGAAATCACTAGAACTAAACGCTTAAAAGATATACTCAGTTTAAATTCTAAAGGTGCTATTCAGCCTTCTGATTACATGAAAAGTTTTCCAGCTTTAAAAAATCTGTCTGGCTATATTCTTGTAAGTATCATACAACTTAATAATATAATAAAATTCAATGACTTCTAATGAATTTCAAAATTGTAGTTGATTGAAGACTTTAACTCCATCTATCCGGAAAAAAAGGAAAACCTTTTTGAAAATTTCCCTGTGTACAAAGACAAGATTCTTCAATTAGGACAAAAAATATCTAATACACTCAAGGACCCTAGTTTAAAGTGTATTATAAAAGACTATCTAGATCTGGCAGCATTAGGTAGTTTTTCTTTTTAAACTTAAACATATTTTGGTTAACTTATCTTTTTAAAATCATTATCATTTAATTTGTTTTTAGAACGTGGAGAAACTTCATCTCTAGCAGCGTTTATCATACTTCCATTCCTCTTCTTTCCTGTTACAACTAAGAGGAAAAAAGGAATACCTGCTTGGAGACCTTCAAAAATTGAATCCAGAGACGGCTTCATTACACATATAAAATCAAATTCAGAATTTATTGAAACAATTACAAGACGGAAACAAAAGTATAGTCAATTGGGTATAACTTTACAGCCTCTTATTATAATAGTAGGACCTAGTATTAATGAAATTTCTAAATATTTTGTACTTGTTAACGATACATATTATGTTTTAAATTCAATTGTAACTGCAGTAGATACTTGTTTCAAAATTTTTCATGCCTTAAATTTACTTTATCCGGTAGAAAGTTTGCCCTTGTGGAGTTTTATCCAAAAAGGTTTTTATAAAATAAAAACAGCTTATGATTCAGAATACGTTTCTGTTAATTCTCTGCTCAATGATCTTGACATTAATGTTATTTGATAACTTAAATTATTAACTTTTGAAACAATTGCCTACTTAATACATATTTACCTATTTAGCAGGAAGCAATTTTTTTTTTTGTTATTTCATAATTTATCAATACTTCAAACTATAAAATTTAAATATAGATAAATATAAATAAGTTTTCATACGTCAGGTTTATTGTTTATTCTATTGAAACATGCCTTTTTGTTTTTTATGCATGGTGAATTTGCCAAATATCTCATTGTTATGTAAACATTTTCATATCAAGCATACCACTCATGATTTTTCATCGTATAATTGTGCAGAAGTAGGCTGCAGTAGATCTTTTCATTTAGTAAATTCATTAAAAAAACATCCAGCTATACTTACATTAAATTAATGTACATTAACTAAGAAAACTGTTTCAACTCAAAATGTAACGGTTAAAAATGTATCAACAGAGAATATAAACGATAACACAATTTCTATAGATAAGTTAGATACAATTCTATGTATACCAGAATCGAGCCCTAATAATAATAATTGTTCAACTAAAAACAGTATAAGAAAAGTAATAAGTTCCTTATATGCTAATCCCCAAATTCCTCGTAATGTAGTTCAAACAGTAGTTGAAGATATGACAGATATATTTAACAGTTTACATCAAACTATAAAGGAAAAAACCAACCAATTACTTTTAAATGATACTATATCTAATGAATCTTTTGATCATTTTAACAATATTTTAAATGAATTTGAACACCCATTTTCAGACCATAACACAGAGTACAAAAGAATTAAATATTTTACTGAACTTGGGACATATATTCCTCCTCGTGAATATGTCGTGGGTGAAAGATTAACTGAAACTAGAAAAAAAAACTCTTTTTCCTTGGTTTCAGTCCATTGCACAGCACAGTTTATTCCGATACGTGATGTATTAAAGAATTTTTTCCAAATTAAAAACTTGTTATCAAATACATTAGATTATATGAATGAATGTAAACTTAATGAAAAAATACTTTTAAATTTTTTGCAAGGTAGTGTGTGGAAAGATAAAGATAAATATCATGAATATCAAACTGTGGTTCCAATTTTTTTATTTTTTGATGATTATGAAATTGGCAACCCATTGGGTAGCCATTCTGGTATCCATAAGCTTGGAGCTGTGTACTTATCTATTCCTTGTTTACCTCCTCATCAGAAATCTTCTTTAAATACAATTTTTTTGGCATTATTATTTCATTCATCAGATAGGCAAAAATTTGGAAACAACGTTATATTTAAGCCACTTATTGATGAATTAAATTATTTAAGAAATACAGGCATTGAAATTGAAACAGATGATTTGAAAGTAAATTTAAAATTTGAATTAGGTATTATAATTGGAGATAACCTTGGAATTCATAGTATCACCGGATTCGTTGAAAGTTTTTCTTCCAACCATCCATGTAGAGTATGCAATATTAGAAAAGAAGAATTGAGAAAACAGTGTTATGCTGATGATAATTTGTTAAGAACTGTAGAACAATACAATATTGATGTTAACGAGGGAGATGTTTCAAACAGTGGTGTTAAAGAAAAATGTGTTTGGCATGATGTTATAGGATTCAATGTATTAGATCAGGTTGGAGTTGATATTATGCACGATATACTAGAAGGTGTTGGAAAGTATGACTTGACATTTTTAATATCCTACTATGTCCATGACTTGAAAGTATTTTCATTACAAATTCTTAATGAGAGAATAGTGTGTTTCGATTATGGCCCAGACAAAGGAAATAAACCATCTGTATTATCTATCGAACATATTCAAAAAAATAATATAAGGCTTTCTGCATCTGAAATGTTATCATTTATTCGTTATTTTGGAGTTTTGATTGGGGATTTTATTCCTAGAAACGATCCTGTATGGTGTATTTATATTTTGCTCAGACAAATTATTGATCTTACAACATCTACAACATTACAAAAAGAGTGTTGTGAACTGATCCAAACACTTGTTGCAGAACATAATGATCTATATTTAAAATATAGTAAACAACATCTCAGACCTAAGCATCATTTTATTTTACATTACCACACAATGATTAAAAAGTTTGGTCCATTAGTAAATTTATGGTGTATGCGCTTTGAGGCAAAGCATAGAATTTCAAAAATATCAGCCAATTCCTCTAGTAATCGACGTAATATTTGTATGAGTTTGGCTATTAGGCAACAATTACTTCTCAACAATCTGTTTATCAAGGGAAATTTAGGTAATACTATTGAACCAGGTTCTTCTAACAATCTAATTAGTGACACTGATATCCAAAATATAAAAAAATTTATGGTAATAGATTCTTTAGATTCACTAATTAGTTGTTCTTGGATTTCTATTAAAGGTACTAAGTACCAAACCACAATGGTTCTTACTCTTGATGTAAACCAAAATAGTCTCCCCGAGTTCGGTATAATACATGATTTATATTTTTATAATAATACAGTAGTTGTATTTAAATGTTTAAAATTAAATACTATCGGTTTTGATGAGCATTTTTGTTCTTATGAAGTAATTAAACTTAGAATTAATGAAGTCCTTATATATCATCATATGCTCTATACTCATATTCCTAATAATATTAGTGTACTGTCAAATGGCTCTACATATGTTACATTGAGAAGTGCTATTTAGTATTATTGTTATATTATATATTATAGTTTTAAGGTATAGACTATAGAGTATAGATATTCAAAATGTCAAGTAATATACAATATTGATTGTATATTACTTAAATTTTAAACCTTACTAAATTGTATTAATTATGTTATGTAATCACGTGTCATAAAAATAAAAAAATTTGAAATAATAAATTATGTATATTTTTTTACATTTAAATACCTAACATGTATTCTATTCGTACTTTTAGGGAGCTTTTAAAGTTGTTTGGGGCTTTGTCTCCCCTTCTGATTGTGTCACTGAAACCAACAGAAGTATACTTTAAAACTAACCAAAATGGTTGTATAATTGTTACAAACAATAGGTACCTACTGCAAAAAGCACCAAAATGGTTATGTAATTATTACAAACTATACTGCAAAAAAGCACTAAATAATTTTGTAGTTCTTACTAAAAAATGTCTATTTGTATAAGAAGAATTATTACTTATAACGAAAAATAGTATTTTGATAGCAAAATTGTTTGGTAAATATTACAAAAGTATTTGTGAACAACTCACAATTGTATACTGACTTCTGACAGTTAAATGCATAGCTACAGCAAAATTGTTTGGTAAATATTACATAAGGATTTGTGAACAACTCACAATTGTATACTGACTTGAGTGACTTCTGACAGTTAAATGCATAGCTACAGAAAAATTGTTTGGTAAATATTACATAAGGATTTGTGAACAACTCACAATTGTCTATTGACTTCTGACAGTCCAATGTATAGCTACAGCAAAATTGTACAGTTACCACTATCAAAATAGTTAACATTAATTATTAAATACATTGTAACTTCTACATAATATTTTGTTGTCACAGAGGCAACCAAAAATAAAAAGGTGGGCAAGTGGGTGTCGCTCTGCTGTACAGTAGGTTACAAGTGGGTCACTGTATAATGGATGATATTAAATTTGAATTCAACGATATAATATCATTGTATAAGAAAAACGATTCTGAGCGGAGACGGTATGTCAGTCTATGTTTAAGACATATTATATACATATCTATGGTATTAAACAAAAAATTGACCTATAATAGGTACCTATAATAAATTCCAAATTAATCATATCACAATGTCCATTAGGTACTTATAACGCGTTATACATCAACAAAACCGTGATACTATCATAGATATATAATAGTACACTTTAGAAGTTTCAAGTACCCACGAATAATATTATTCAATCACAACAAAATAACTAAAATAGTTATTCTAGGTTTTTTAATATGTAATTTCGTCCAAATTTGAATTTAAAATGTCTGTAAAAAATAACTGTGTTCATATATTTTTTAGATTTTTTGGTTACAGTATGAACTATTTATGAGAACCTTTGTTTTAAATTTGCAATCCTTACCTATAAAAACTGAACATTTTATAATTTATTAATTTCAATGATTGATAATTTTCGAGATTTTGAAAAATTTTGTCAAAATTTGATCTTTAAATGCTTATAAAAAAAAACTGTGCCTATGTATTTTTAATATTTTTCAACTGCTATTGTAACAGTATATCAGGAGCCTTGTATTAAATTTTTACACTTTTTGGCCCAACAGATAAAACTTTATTGATATTTATAGAAAAAAAAACTAAAAAAAATTGAAAGCTGTAAATGTCCATAAACAGCTCAAAAAGAGTCAAAATATTTTCAAAATTGTATGGTGTATAGGAAATGCTAATATAAACATTCAGTGAAATTTTCATGTATCTACAGTTATTCGTTTTGAATTACAACAAAATAAGGAAATCGCTACATGAGAAATCGAGTGAAAATCCAATGTTGTAAAAATTTGAATTTCAAACGCTCATAAAAATTTAATTTGACTTTCTTATAGACATTTTTTTTTTTGATAAAGGTAGATAATCTTATAAGGAATCTTGTGTTAAATTTTCAAATCTTAGATTTAAAAAGAAAAATTTTTACGAATTCTTAACTCAAAATAATTTGCTAATTTTCGTGATTTTTCCATATTTTGTCAATTTTTGAACTTTAAGTGCTTATAAAAAAAAATTGTGACTAAGGATTTTTAATATTTTTCATCTGCCTTTGAAACAACATATTAGGAGCCTTCTATTAAATTTTCAAGCTTTCGCAACCAACAAATAAAATTTTATTGATATTTTCTAGAAAAAAAACTAAAAAAAAATGAAAAATGAAAATGTCCCTAAACAGTTCAAAATAAATCAAAATATTTTGAAAATGTTATCGTGTATAGAAAATGCAAATATAAACAACCAGTGAAAATTTCATGTATATACGTTCATTTGTTTTAGAGTTACACCAAAAACCAAAATCGATTTTTTGGAAAACCAATTTTGCGTAAAAATTCCCGTTTTTCCTTAATTTTTATGTTGTTTTTCCCGGCGCTTGTGAAAACTACTGGGAAATTTATACTTTTGACCCCCCAAAGTACCAACTAGATTCACTTTCCTATCAGAAAAGCTACTGATGAAGAAAATCCAAGCACTTTTACTGTCCTAAAACGTGATGACAGACACAAAAATTAAAAAAAAAATTAAAAAAAAAAAAAAAAAAATAAAAAAAAAAAATAAAAAAAAAAATAAAAAAAAAAACACACATCATTGTAAAATCAATACATTCATCGTTTCACTCAGAATCTAAAATTGATAGCAGTTATAAGATTCTTGCTGAAATAACCAAATATTTTTTTCCGTGCGTTTTTTTGTTCGTGTGCTCTGACCACAAAACCTCGTGGTTGAGTCCTTGTGGGTGCTTGCCTTTTGTGCCGCCCGTAAAACCGTGTCGTGTTCTTCGCACGCGTGTGGTCCCTTTTACACCGCCGTCCGGTATTGCTCGCCGTGACCGTGGGCGTTCGTCAGTTCTACGTCGCGTCGTTGTGACGCATCTTGCGTAGGGATGGGATATCGAAAGGAAGTATCGATACTTTTACTTGGTACTAGTATCGAAAACAAATATCGATATTAGTAAAATATCGAAACAATTTTATCGATATGAGTAAGTATCGAATGAAAAAAAAATGTATAGCAATGGTCAATCGGTATAATTTTCTTAATTTAATTATCGTTCTTGTATTGCATTACATTGCATATTAAATAATAATATCATAGAATTTATAAATAAATTATATAATTGGTCATTAATAAAAAAATAGGTCATTCAATTTTAATGTATAAATAATTTCACAAATAAAGATCATTGATCAGTCATTAATAAAAAAAAAATCTAATAAAAAAATATTTAAAACCATTCTTATCTTGCCATTCTATCTTTGATTTATCTAATAGCATTTTCCATCTGACTGCACTAGTGTACACTGGTAGCGTTTTGGAGGTGTCGATAATTATGTGATACTGACAATACTGATAAATGATAAAGCATGCATTATGAATTGTATTATCATATTTCAAGCCATACATAGATATTAATTACTTCATTATCATTTATTTCAAGCCATACATAGATATTAATTACTTCATTATCATTTATCATACACTAATGTAGTGTAGTACTGGTAGTACTCGGGTCCACCAGTGTGGTGTGATATCAGTGTACACTAGTGCAGTAGTTTGTAATTTGTAACAGTAATTTGTTTATAATTAAAATTAACATACCAGAATAAGAGCTAATTCGATTAAAAGCTTCGACAATAGGTTGCTTTAAAACTAATGTTGTCTTTTCTTCTGAAAGTGGACAATCCACACATTCCTATAACACATAATCAGTATACATTAATTCACACATGAAATCTAATAGCTAATGTTATTCATTTTTAATAATTAGATAAGTACTTCTGGTTCAGAATCTTCTAATGAAAATGTAAGAGTCTTTGGACTTCCAATGGATGTAGACGGGGCGGGCTCAGATGACCGTTTGTTACTGTAGAAATATTATTAGTTTGTATTAGGATGAATACATAATTAAAATACCTACTTTAAACTTTCACAATTTAAAAGTAAAAATTATTTTTAAAAAAAACGACTTACTTCTTTGAAGATGCCAATTTTGACTGTTTTTTTTGAGATGTTGTCGGATTAGTGTTTTTTAATAAATTTGGATGTCTGGTCATCATGTGTTTCCTTAAATTTGATGTGTTGCCACTATGCGCAACATTTTTAAGGCAATCATTGCACATCGCATATTCTTTATCCAATTTTTTGAAAAAAATCCAAACATCACTTTTTGGTGGCGCCATTATAATTTATAATTATTAATTTAAATTTAAATTTAATTTATAACGTCTATAACACTATCAGTCAATATAATTTAATTATTGTCATCTCATATTGATAAGTGATAACTGATAATGAAAACTGATAAGAGATAACAAAAAAATGATTCGATACTAGTAATTTGTTATCGATATGAATATAGTATTGAAACAATTATATCGATAAAAAAAGTACTCGTATCGAAAGAAAAATATCGATACTTTACTTATATCGATAATATCGGAACGTCCCTAATCTTGCGAGAGGTCAGTGACCTCACACCTGCCCAGCTGTCTCTGCCGGGTACATGTCATTTTGAGGACACTGCGAAAATCGTCGTGGGATCTCGACGTCCACCAACGGTGACCTGCTGTATCGTTACTACATGTTATAATTATTGTATTTTGTTGTCTATTTTATTTGTATATTGCATGTGCACCTGTGTGTGCCCGTTATGTACCATATAATTATTTGATATCACATTGTTTTAATATTATTATTGTGGCAGTTGTTTGAAAAGACGTCTTCGGCATTGCATCTTTATTAGTTATTATAAATATTATATTTTGGCACACTATATTCGGACCTTCATCATTTTGCTCCCACACACCCGCGAGTCGTCAGTAAACTGCTGTCAACGTAAGTGCTGACGGCGCAACAGTCTGGATGGTATACTAACTTGTGTTTATTTACATGATGCAATCATTGTCTTACTTTAGAGTTAGACTCTATTCAGTCAGGCTGCATGCCATAGGGACGTAATGGCAAATAATACG